AGTGGGAGTTCTGGGGTGCGACGAAATGTTCTCAACGGACAAACTCCCTTGGCATTATTTATCTCTCTATTTGGCCGATTTCTACTCTTTCCAGCCGCCTCCCAAAGCCTGGTAGAGGCTAACTGTATGCTGGCACTAAAATATGCTGGCTGAAACATAGAAATGTCAATAACTGGTGTCCTTGTCGTTCAAAACCGCAGATATCACAAAAGATATGTTGAACCTTCTTTTCCTTTAGTTAAACTGTCCAAAATACAGTAACAGTTGGTAAGGGGACCCATTGACTATGATTTGAGAGACTTCTTGCTCAACCAGCTGGTCTACTTAAGGAGGGCAAGAGCCTTGCCTGGTGGTCAAGGCAATAAACTACTTGGCAAGAATATTTTGATCAGGCAACAACTAGGTGGCCTTTGACGTTTCGACTACGTTTCGACTGCAGGTAGATCTTGGGTGGGGAAATGGTTTACAGACTGGCCAATTTGACACTGTCTTCCCCCCACCGAAAGAAAGATGTACTTGGAGATTACCCGAAAGTGGCAAACTGTACTCTTGAGCAGACCAACTCCCCTGGGATGTTATCTGTCTATTTGGCCAATTTTTACTATTTCCATCCACTTCCTGAAGCCTGGTAGATCCTGATGGATTACTAAGTACAAGTAAGTCTGTTATTCTGTTGGTGTTTGGTCTAATTTTCTGCATTTGTAAATTGTACATCCCACCAAGGAGATTTATTAGTTGTCCTTGTTCCCACTCTATAGAAGTGCGCTCTTAACCCTCCCACTAGCGAGAGGTGTAGGAATCAGTAAAGGTCCTGGAGTATATAAAGTATTTCCTCAATGAAGGATGTGTTGATGACGATAAAAGAGAAAATGAATCCAATATCATTAAGTTAGGTTAATCAGCTAAAACTTGGACTGCTTTAGGCCACACTGCCTTAATTTTATGGATGAATTCCGCGCATTGATTTTCACCTGTTCAAAAAAAAAAAAAGAATTATCTCCTCTGAGACTCTGGCCTGGGTGCCATCCTCCGTACGTAGTCCATGGTAGCTAGCCGACATATAGGGAGCCAGGCTGCCAATGCTCCATGGAACTCAAGAACTCTGATCTGCCAACTGATAAATGTCGCAAAAGGCCAGCACGTGCCGGCTTGTCATAGAAACTGCAAATTTACAGTACCAGTTTTGTTTTCCTGTGGTTTAGCAGCATTTTTTTGGCTGGAATTTTTTTTCCACACACACTAGTTTGTTATCCATAGGACGTCATTAATAAAATTCAAGTCGGTGTGGCGTTATTATGTGGTTGCTTAGTCCAAATCAATAGAACTATAAGAACAGTATAAATTTCATTCAACATTATAAAATAATCTGAAAATAGCAGAATTACACTATAAAACAATTGGATGCCCATAATTGATCTCCAAGCATATCCTTTGGTGGCACTACACAGTATCCAATAGCACTACACAATATGTGTGTCTCAGATTGCCACCAAAAGGATCTGAGATTTGGCCTATGGTGGAGCTTGCTAAAGGCATCAGGTGATCATAAAATACTTTTCACCCAATTAGACCTAATCATTCTTTTCTTTGATGGCATAAACTGCATATTAGTGCATCCATTGTGGAGGTTATCACCTATACACAAAGCACACATACTAAAGATGGGTGAGAATAGGGAGGGGAGGTGATTATTCACACCCTGTTGATACAATGAACAAGTTGCAAAGCAGCAAGAGTGAGACTCCAGTCAGATCATAGAGGTAGAACAACCTCCTTGGTCAGATGAAGCTGTAAAAGAGTTACAGATGGGGACAGGGGAAGTAAATTAAAGCATTTTCTGAGTTACCAGCCTAAAACCTACAGTGTATGAATTACACACACAAGCACAAAGACACACAAACACACACTCACACCCAAAATCAAGCAATCATCTAAAAACTTAACTAAATAGGACCACCTTGAGTGCATACATTGATGTAATTTTGCAAGCAATTCTATAGTCAACAGGACTGTTTCAATTGAGAAAAAAGAAATGAAATTGTTGTGGCCTAACAGTTGTAAAACAAGCTTGGATGCAAAACAAGACTCATATCCTACTGCAGCTGCAATGCTTCCAGATACAGGGACATTTCTTTTAGATAAGTCTGCAGGAATGTCTGCAGGAAAGAATTAATTTCTGGATGCAGGAATTGACGTTTACCCTGCAAAAATTTCTTTTAGTTCTCCTACAGAAATGCCTGCAGAAATTTCTGTAATTATAATATATTAGAAGTCATAGTACATGTTGGCTCTTTTTTCAAGTCTTACTTTATTATCAATAATTCTGTATTATGTTTTTAATATTCAGGGGGAAAATATAAATCAGAAAAATATAAATCAGAAGCTGTGAAATGGGATTTCTATTTCAGCAAGGAGAATGTCTCTTTAACCTCCTTGACTTGAGACATTCTTTAACATCCTTGATTTTAAGATTACCAAATCTATTTTAATATTTGATATTTGATAATCTATTTTAGTATACATATAGAATACAACACGGGGTATTCCGTATCGCCCGAGGTACCAGCCCGACCGCGCGTCGGATCGCCCGACGGCCGAAGGCCCGGAGGGAGATCCGATCCGCGGGAGGGCTGGGACCGAGGGTGATGCGGAATACACCGTGTTGTATTTTATTTATGTCATACCCACCCAAGAAAACACGCCTTTCAATGCAAAATGAGCAGAAAGTTGGTGTCCTTAAACCCAAAAAGTGCAACAACATCAATTCCAACGTCCGAATTTTGCATTCGAATTTTCGAAAGCGTTGCACGCGGTTAGGGCGAAACGCGTTCGAATCGTTCTATGGAACATTTGGAAGCCCCGGGCCGTACGCGTTAAGAACCCCCGGGCCGTACCGCTAGTTACCACACGGGCCGGAACACCCGTATCGAACGTAATCGCGGCCCAGGTAGGACATAAAACAGTGTATTCCTATCGCCCGAGGTACATTGTACCACTGCTTGGATCTCTCAACAGTAGGAGGGCTGGAACCGAGGGTGATACGGGATACACCACATTGTACCAACTCGAGAACACGCCTTTCAAATTGCGAAATGAGCCGAAATTTGGTGTCCCAAAAATACAACAACATCAATTCCAATCTGTCATTTGAATGTTTGGAATTGGCACACTCAGCTCAGGCAAAACAGTTCCAGTTATTCTATGGAACATTCTGAAGCCCGTGTGATAACCAATTAGAACCCCGGGCTGTATGGCTACTTTATGACACAGACTGGAACAACCATACCGGTATGTTAGATAGTACACGGTGCACTCTGTATCACCCGAGGTATCAGCCTGACCGCGGGTTCAGCCATCGGGCGATACGATCCACGGGAGGTCTGGGGCCGAGGGTGATGTCATAGTGATACCCACCCGAGAAAACAGACATTTTAATGCAAAATGTGCCAAAATTTAGTAAATCTAACCAAAATTGTAACAACATCAATTCGAATGTTTGAATTCGGTGTTCGAGGTTTCGAAAGCGGCGCACTCAGTTCTCGCGAAATCCTCGTGAAATTACGTATAATGGTCCAAAGTGTTATGTATAATGGTCCATAGAATTATGTATAATTATGTATAATGGTCCATAGAATTATGTATAATTATGTATAATGGTCTAAAGGGTTATGTATAATGGTCCAAAGTGTTATCTATAATTATGTATACTGGTCCAAAGGCTTATGTATAATTATATATAATGGTCCAAAGGGTTATGTATAATTATGTATAATGGTCCAAAGGGTTATCTATAATTATGTATAATGGTCCAAAGGGTTATCTATAATTATGTATAATACCAAAATCATTATGTATAATTATACATATTTATAGTATAATTATGTATAATTTGACTATTCCCAAGGGACTCATCAACGCTTTCCGCATATTCATTACCACCTAATATGTTACCATAAAAAGTATTAAGACAGTTGGGTTAAACGTTTGGGATTTATGGGCGGGAGTCCATAATTAAAACGTTTTTCCATAATTATATCGCGGCTTGTTATATGTATACAGTCTACGGCCACACGCCACTAATCACATGGGATGATATTCTAGTATTTCTGTCTATTCTAAAGTCTTAAAAGCCACTTTCTCGGAAACGTCCGGTAAAATCATGGACATGAATATGAATGAGGCAATACAGTTTCTAGACTTCCACTACTTTTGTGGGAATCTTTGCAGATAACTATATTTCAACACCCTTTTTAGTGATGTGTGCCCAAAATCTGAATGTCTACTTTAAAGCATCCGCCTCGGCGCTAAGACCACAAGTTAGAGTCTGTTGATTAAGACACATTTCATTCTGATATTCAGTATAGATAATCCTTATCATATTTACAGGGCTATAAGCACTTTAGTCTTAATATATTCCTTGGGCTGGGATATTTCTAAATACAATCTTATCATACAAACCCTTGATAATTTTCTTACCGAAGAGAAAAAAAAAGAATGAAAATGTACTTTCACGATTCACTCATACGGACTTGTTTAGCATCACGAAGTGTAGCTACTTTGCTATGAATGTTAGAGGTTAGAATACAACGATGACGCTGACCAAAAAAGTCAATGCGCCAGTTCACCACTTGAACATCCGGTTGATGACAAAGTTCTGTCCCAGACTGCGTCGTAATGAAGTGATTACATAGTCCAGAGAGATCACATTTGGGTACAACCTCTTAGTGCAAAGTTCTTGGGACCATTGTGGTGGTCATAGTTTCCGTATGACTAAACCAAACACAAAATAAAAACAACAAAAAAATCACTGTGTTTAACGGATCTGCTCAGTGCAAGAGACCACTTCTTGGCGCTGAACAAAGTTCGATTTACCGGAACAGCATCTCTTCTCCACCAGAAGCATCAATGCTGGAGCAAGTCCGACTCACTAACCATGAGAGTCCTCCGGACTGACCCAAGTAGAGCTGTAGAGTAGGGCTGCTCTGGAACTTCCTCTACTCTTTTCTGCGACCTCAATAGTCTTGATCCACTCACACCGGGAAGGACCCTCTGGTAGGAGGGAGGGCCTCGCGTTTAAAACACGAAGTAGTGTCGTCTGTACATGTAGACCGACCAGTACACGAAGTTCAGCGCGATGAACAGGGTGGGGAACATGACTCTGGAGTACTTGTCGATGTTGTTCGAGTTTTTGATCTGAGGCCGTCTGCCGTACAGATGATGCAGCATGGTCGACACGGCGCCTGCGAAGGTTGATCTCTGTTTGCTGTCGTCGCCGTCGTCCATGCCCGTATCTTCCCGACGGGGGGTCTCCGCGAACCCGGGCTGTGACGTCAGGAACGGCCCGTGTGACGTTACCTCCTTCTGGGTAGCCTCGTTGACGATGTCGACGCGCAGGGTGTGCTGGGAAGACACGCCATTGAGGCCCCCGACGCGGGCTTCGACGTCATGGCAACGGCACACGTGACACTCCGACTGGGGAGGGAAGGGGCAGAGAAAACCGTGTTAGAACAGAAAAGTTATAATAGACAAGAGTTTACAGTCTGACTGCCATCTTATTTGTTTACCGGGGTCCAGCAGCCGACACGGTCTCAATTACCGTCCTCTTTATTTATTAATTTCCGTCATATTTAAACAGGGTAACCCACTCAGTGATGGCACTGCTTTTCAGTGGGACAATTTGGTAATAAAATCCCCAGGGAAATACTGAATTGTCTACAGCCGGGTGTCACTGAAGTGAGAAGGCTGTCATCCTAACCGTGACTTAATTTGTATCTCAAATTTAATAATCTCGTACTCATCATCATCAGCAGCATTGCCTCGTAGTCCGGGTAAGTACTACATCTTAAGGTAGTGCCACTACATTCTAACGTTTTACAACTCAACTACATCGTCGTTGACTATTAAAAAAAGTGTGGGGTCGTGTGGCGTAGCGACAAAGTGCTCGACTCATAACCAAGAGATCCCGGGTTCGAGTCCTGACATGCCATCGATCTTGTGCCCTTGGGAAAGCCTCTTTACACGACTTTCCTCACTTCGCTCAGGTGAAAATGAGTATCGTACTGCCCCCTGTGTTAGTGGTGGCATTAATATAAGTTGAGAAAACTTGAGTGTGCCGTCACCACGTCTTGTGATTACATGTTGCAATATAAGAAAAACAACATCTAACGTTAAAAGTTACCTGTCCCTGCTGCCCCTGCAGGCTGGCCTGTTTCTTGGCGATTCCGACGGAGCTGAAGTTGACGATGGCGTACTCCAGAAGCGCCGCGAACACGAAGAAGAAGCACATGGCCAGGTACACGTCGATGGCCTTGATGTACGAGATCTTCGGCAGAGACTCCTTCGCGGCCGAGCTCAGCGTCGTCATGGTCAGAACCGTGGTGATACCTGTGAAATGAGAACATTTATAGTAATCTCCAAGCAGATGTTTTGGTGGCCGTAAAACACAGTATCAAATTGGCCAGGCAGCATCCACTAGCCAGACAGTATCATTGGGTTGAGTGGCCAATGGATACTGCCTGGCTAATCTTTTCTGGACAATGGAGACTGTATAATGGATGGGTCGTTTGAGCATGACGTCGCAGTATATATAGATCGCCGCCATGTTGGTGAGTATCTAGATCCAAGATGGCACCCATGATGGCAGGTAGCAGACAATGATGGTAGATTAATCAGTTAACCTAATTAATGTGTTCTCGCTAAGCTATACACCAGGGGAAATGTATATGTGAAAGTACAGTTAATGTTAACGTTAAGACATTTCTCGCATCTTGATGTACGGGATCTTCGGCGGAGACTCCTTCGCGGCCGAGCTCAGCGTCGTCATGGTCAGAACCGTGGTGATACCTGTGTGATGGGGACAATAGGTCAGTAGACTATGCATCAATTAGTGACTGTTTTGAAAGGTAGCAAACTCGTACCGAATTTTCGACGTCCACTGTACGTCTTCATCATGGAGTGACCTAGTCGTAGAGTGTCGTGCAGTGGACGTCAAAAATTTGCGGGTACGTGTTTGCTACCTTTCAAAACAGTCACTGATTGATGAATAGTCTACTAACTGTTAATCTTACGTGCCTGATGAACCTCTTCAACGAACAATAGGACGTCAGAACTTATATATGCCGCCGCCACTGCCACCGCGTGGCTACTAGGTAGATCCAAGATGGCGCCCATGATGACAGGTAGCAGACAATGATGGTAGATAAATCAGTTAATCTAATTAATGTGTTCTCTCTATATATAATACATCAGGGGGTATGTGTATGTGAAAGTAGAGAGAATGTTGATGTTAAGACATTTCTCGCATCTTGATGTACGAGATCTTCGGCAGAGACTCCTTCGCGGCCGAGCTGAGCGTCGTCATGGTCAGAACCGTGGTGATGCCTGTGCGATGGGGACAAAAGATCGTTTGTATATGGCGTCAAAACTTATATATAGGTCGCCACCTCCTCCGCCATGTTGCTTGGTAGATCGAAGATAGCGTCTTTGATGGCAGAAAATGCTCATTGTTTGTTTTGAACCATTCTTTATTCACAGGAGGCTCAATTCGCCCTGCGTCCTGCGTCCTCCATACGTATACCCATCCCCAAATCAATATGGCGGCGATTGCCTTAGCCATGTTTCTGTACAGTGACGTGATGTGCCTGTTGAACATTTCAGACATCAGTTTTAGAAGCTTCATTATTTTCACATGACTTGACAAAGTGAAGTGTCATTTGTATTTTTTTAACGATGTTGCTCAATGCTAGTCTGGGTGCCATCCTATTTGTTTGCCGGGGCTCCCATATTCGCTACCTGACAACTTCTTAGGGAAGGAGTATGGGAAACCCGGCAAACAAATAGGATGGTACCCAGATTAGCTCAATGCAAAGCAACATGACAACTTCTAGCACTGACCTAGCGTGACCCTTGCGGGAACTGCTTCCGGGTTGATGAAGAAGCTGACCCAGGAAGAGATAACCAGTAAGATGGCGGGAACGTAGGTCTGCAGGATGATGAACACCACGTTACGGTGGAGCCGGAAGCTGAACGTCAGGCGAGGGTATTCTCCTGCAGGGAACAACGAAAGGACAGGTTAAAATCTCCGTGAATATTTTGTGCCATTTTCTGGTACGTTTCAATAGTTCTAAGTGTTGTGGCAATCATTAGCTGGCATGCATTCCAGAAAGAATGACTATGAATCCTTTGGACCCAAATTTACTGGAAATTTGAATTAAGTGTCAAAGGGTGGTCAATTCGATGAATGTTGGACATCCAGGTAGAACATTACGTGATACAAAAAAAGAACAAGATAAATACAGTTACCGTGCACTGTGTTACAGTGTGCTCCATAAATTGCAATTATATCTTGTTTATATCAGATAAACGAACGCAAAACTACGTTGCAATCAAATTGGCCAAGCAGTATCCGTTCGCCACTCCCTGGCAAATGGATACTGCCTGGCCATTTTGATACTGTCTTTTGCCACCCTAAGATCAGCTTGTAAATTATCTAAGTACCGGTTTCGTAGTATCCGTGGTTAGACATCCATGGAATAAGATACGCACGTACGCAAAAAAAAAACAGCCTCATGGAAAATCATATCCAGTTGCTTGAGTAACTGCTTTTTGGAAAACGTCAAACTACATTGCAATCCATCTAGCCGCCATGCTTTAAAACTACCAGTGCCCCAGAATAGCCTCCATAGCATACCAAAAACTGGGGGGTTTGGGGTCTTCAGGGCCTTTGGGAGCTTTTATGTGCTATCTTTTTATTACATATAGACAACATAGCCGACCTGGGTGTATTACTCCCTTAACTAATAATAAAACAGCCGAAGACCACCAAATCCCCAGCGCTATAAGTCTGCTACGGAGGCTACTTGAATACCAGTTTCGTAGTATCCGTGGTTCTCTGACGTGGTGAAGCCTCCGATGTCGAACTGCGCGATTTCGATGTCCTCCAGGCCGTGGATCGACGCGTTCCCGTCTTTCCAGAGGAACAGCACGTCTTGTGTGGTGTAGCCGTCTGCGGGAACATGGCAGGTTAGGATGTTTTGTTTTATATCCCAACATTTCATGACTAGATGTGGTGACAGCACACTTAAGTTAATAATATATCAACGTATTTTATGCCGTCACCAACGCAGAGGACGAATACAAGACAATACTCATTTTCACAATCTGTGGCAGGCGGAACATCAACAGATATCAATTATGCAAATGATGACCTAATTTGCATAATTAATGTGAACATTCTGTGAATCCTTATTGGTGAATGATGGGAAATTTATACCTCGTAACGTGTAACTTACTTAAGGTATGCATCGCTATGCATATATCATGTTAATGTACAGGTATTTGCATAATTGATGAGGACGCAGCAAGCCCATATTTCATGGAGGTATGAGATCTCGGAACTCTTGTTTTCACTTGAGTTAAGTGAGGAAAGTCGTCGTGTAAAGTGCCTTTCCCAAGGGCACAAGATCGGTGACAAGTCAGGACTCGAACCCTCTTGGTTCCGAGTCGAGCACTCTGTCGCTACACCACACGGCCCCAGCTCAGTCAGAATGTCTACCGGCTCTGACTATTATCAACATGGTCTTCTTTAGTGGTGGTTTATAGCAGAATATTGAAATAATATGGTAGATAATCGGCCAGGAGAGTAAACCCACGGTAAGGGTAAACTTATCTCTTGGGAAATGAGACCCTCACAAATTAACTTCCTCTTGGTTGATTGTATTTCTTTTTAGCCAGCGGGGTTAGCCTAGACCTGTTCAAGGTAGGTGTTTTCTACTGCGGGAATGGAATAGTACATTCATAATGCGTCCCAAGAAACCACATTGACCACTAAAGGAAAAAGGAATATTCCATGTCCATGATGTTGCATGCTTATCTAAATGTGACTTTTGCATACATGAGAAGCAGATACTTACAGCTCTCATACTGTAGTGTGCAGTTCTGTTCGTCCAGAGGGTAATTCCGGAGGTCCATGTTGCAGGACACCTTGGCGGTTATTCTAAAGAAAATAAGCAACAATTGTAGAGTACACATTCGTGAAATCTCTCAATACTTATACTATATATATCCTTATTCGGATAGAGCAAATATCCCACAAGGAATATTATTGTAGTTTCCTCAAGTCGTTACATTTGCTGTGCATCTCACAGTGTGCAGTTTTAAAGGAATTTGTTTGGTGGCGCTTACGATTTACCATCTATCCACAAACATATGAAAACCTACGCAGACGTTTTTTCAGACTTTATTACCTTCGCCAAGAATTGGAGAAGGTTATGTTTTCCTGGCCGTGTGTGTGTGTGTGTCTGTCTGTCAACAGCATAAGTCGAGAAAGCTTAGATGGATTATCTTGATATTTGGTAGATGGGTAGGTCTTGATGAGAGCTCGAACTGATTAGATTTTGGGCCCCCTGGCGGCTTGTCATGGTACTGCAGCTGAACTTCCGGTTTTGATATCTCATGATCCAGACATGCTAGGGTGACGAAATTTGAATGGCAGGTAGCTCTTGTGCTGGGGAAGAAGTGACGTGAGTTTGGGCCCCCTAGTTGCTTGCTCTAGAACTGCAGGGGGGTTTAAAGGACAAATGTTTAAAGGAGGATAACTCAAGAACCGATTGATGGATCATCATGATTTTTGGTATGTAGGTAGCTTGAGTAATGCTTGACATAATGATATTACAATTATGCAAATATGGATGTAATTTGCATAATTAACGAGGAAATTCTATTAATCAACTGCATTCCATGATAGGAAGTTCAAGCTTGCGACATATGTTATTAACAACGAGAGAAACACAGGCAGATATCGATTATGCAAATGAAGACTTAATTTGCATAATTAATGAGAAAATGTTATAATTGCATAGTGGTAACTGCCTGGAATTTTATACTTGGGGTGTTTGAAGTTTAGTTAATTTAACATAACTTATTCAAATAAGGACCTCATTTGCATAATATATGAGGAAATGCTATAATGGCATTCTTTGTTAAAATAAGACTGTTGGTGGAGATCATGATCAACAGATATAATTCATGCAATTGCGGATCCTATTTGCATAATCAGGGGGATTAATACATTGTATATAAGTTCTCATTCATAAAAGCTAACATCATTTGGCGAAGGTATGAGATCGTGGAACTCTAGTATTTTTTTTACAATGTAGAAGTTAACATGCGTATAACTCTTACTGTTTCTAACTGTTTTACAAATAAGCAATTTAGCCTCATTCGTCTTCTCCTCTGTCTTTATTCCTCCTTTGAGAGAGCATTGAAATGCAGAGGAAAACCATGTTACTGTTACGAAGAAGATACCATCTCACTACATGTGTTCTAGCAATCCTGCTTTAAAGGAAAATAAAATGTATTCCTATATATATATGTTTTGTCATCTCGTACTCTAATTTCTTTCATTCCCCCTCCAGCCACAAAAAGTGTAAAACACGTAGACTTTGAACACAATTTACACATTCTTTATCTTTGATAGAATTAATATGCCTTTGGCAAAAGGTACTCATCCGTCCATCCATTCATTCATTCATCCAATCAGTCGAATTTGTTCATAGTTTAGGTATAAATGTGATCATTTAATTGTATATCGTATTTCACTTCAGGCGTTCAAGGGTGCTAATGTATGATCTGTAGCTGTGATAATAAAGATGATGTAATGATGATGTAAAATAAACCATTCATTCATTAATTCATGCATTCATTTATTCCTTCCTTGCTTCTTTCCTGACCTCTGTCCGTACAGCACGGTCCCGTCCGGGTGCAGCCTCAGCAGCTTGTTGTCCACCGTGACTTTGTGCAGGAATGCCTGTTTGGAGTTAGGGATGAACAGGTCGGGAACCCACAGCCGGTCCGACAGGCGCCCGTCCAGGGTCAGGTTAGCGTCGATGTCCTCAAAAGCCAGGCGGTTGTCCTGCCAATACTGTCGCAGGAAGATCGTCACCATGTAGTCCTGGAGGAACGGAAGGATGAGCGAGTGATCGGACGAATGAATTGATTGATAAATGAAAAATGACGAATTAAATAATGTATGTCTATAGGGACAGATTAGCGTTGGTGCTCTTAAAGGCTAGGCCCAGGAAGATCGTTACCATGTAATCCTAGAATAACGGAATGAATGAGCGAGTGAATGAACGAATTAAAGAATAAATCGTGGGCGTCCGGGTCAGGTTGGCTTTGGTGCCATGGAAGGCCAGAATGTTGTCCTAAAGTACTAGCATATGTAAGCATCAATACTGTATCGAAAAAAGAAGCTGCGTGTTGCAGTACCATGGCAGTACAACTGATTATTTCAAAACAAAGCTGAGTGTACAGAACTTCACTTCAGTTGAAGATGACTGCTTTGTTTCCTTTGACTCTAGTTGAGTCTGAAACATAACCCTACAGAGAGGCCTGCTTTGTCGATTTATCGGGGTTAAAGTCCTCTCCAATCTTCCCGAGTAACGTCTGTCATGTGTTGAATACGTGGAACATGATTTAGCACAGAGAACGGAAGCGTAACCGTAGGGATGACTGCCGCGTCGACATGATTTAAGACCTGAACCGTCTGCCTTTCATTTTCTGTGATAGCTCTGTTTGCATTTCAGTCATTTCTTGTACCTACATGATAAATGGATGCATTATATAGCCATCAAATATTCCTGCGTTTGATGTACCATTTCGCCTGGAAGGTCCCAGAAAGAAACCTGTATCATTTATTCATCTTGGCGTATATTTTCCGCATGCCCTACGAGAATAGTCTAAGCTTGTTTGGGTCAGCATAACTGTCTGGTTGCATCGACTGAATTTTTACGGTTGCCCAAAGACAGGGAAATGTGATAAAACAAACTGCTAGCTGCCGGTTAACTGTGAAGGGGATGAGTTACACAGAATGACGGTTGTACGCAGAATCTTCAAAAGGCTCTGCGGTATCTTTGTGGCTTATAAATGTGTTGTTTTTTTCTTCTGGCATATAAATTGTAATTTCTAACTGTACTCGGTCCAACTTCGGTTGCTTGCTTCCGGACAGCGTCTGACAACTATGTTCCATTGTCTCCCCCTTTGTGGTCTGTGGTTAGGGAATTTCCCCACCCATGTGCAGTCACTCAATGTATTGTAGGAACAAACAGACACGAACAAAACAAGACGTTGCACACATGGAGGCGACGAGGTGTTGACTTACCATGTTGACCTCTGACACCTGGTCAATACTGGCTATAGACATGCTGACTCGAACGACCACCGGAGCTCCTGAAGAGGTGAGAAAAAGAGTTTTCTTTCTATTCCAACATTCATCCCAAGATACGCCGATGGCGGTTAGGCATCCAGGTAATACGATACGCCAAAAAGCAGTAACTCAAGCAACTGGGTATGGTTTTGGAAACGGTCAGACGTTTGAGCTAGTATCCACTACCTTTCGTCAGTGACTGAGAGACCAGAGGAGAAATACAGAAATGTAGTTTGTGCTTATAAACCTGCATTTCCCCTCTAGTCTCTCAGTCACTGACGAAAGGTAGTGGATACTAACTGAAACGTCTGACCGTTTCCAAAATCATATCCAGTTGCTTGAGTAACTGCTTTTTGGCGTACCGGCATCACAAGACATGGCGACGACACACTCAAGTTTTTTCAACTTATTTTTATGCCGCCACCAACGCAGACAAACCTACTTATTTTCACCTGAGTAAAGTGAGGAAATTCGTATTAAGTGCCATTCCCAAGAGCAGAAGATCGATGGCATGGCAGGATTTGAACTTGGTTCCGAGTTGAACGCTCTGCCGTTACGCCACACTACTATCATCTCGTAACTACGAGTACCCGCAAACAGTCATCATGGTCGAAGCAATTATGTCTCCACTAACAACTACGGCTAGTACGTAACAAGATTTAACGTAGTCTCCGGGAGACTAACTAACAATGCATAAAATAGTAAACCCTGGCGAAACAGGGAGAATAATTGGCCAGGGGACTGACTCTCCTGGCCAATTATTCTTCCAATTTTTTCATATTTCTGCGATCCGTAACCCCGTAAGAAGATCTGCTGGTATACTAGTAACTGATCTCGAACCAGTTCAGTTAAAATGAACCATTGAGGTTTAAAAGTCTCCTTGCAATTGAATGAACTCAATGAATGATTGAGATACGTTTCCACTTGTCGTGACAGAGAAGACAGACGGTACAAGTACATGTATGTGGAGTACGTGCAGGTTCATTGTACCACGAAAATTCTCCTTCTCGACTAGTACAATAAATTTGGCTTGGACCAAGGCTTAACATTCCGTCGTAAGAACTGTAACCCTTTCCAGTAGCCTGCATATATACCATCACCTAAGGCAACGTATTTTCTTGTTCCTTTTTTTTTTCAAAATCAGACAAAAATCAATGCGCGCGTGGATGCCATCCACGTAACGTATGCTGCGAAAAGTCACGGCGACCAAGTAACTCGGCAAATATTACATTGTAATGAATCTGCTATGATAAATATGCTACGGGTCACTCGTATCATCTCACCACCGGGACATACGGGGCTACAGGAATGGGTTTTCGGCCGAGGCTTTGAGTTAGGAGACCATCTGCGGAGTTACTTTAACAAGAAGAATAAGAGAAGAAGGTCTCCCGTGCTCTTATGCAGAGCGTAGGGTGGTGCCCATCTCCATTTCTGTAGCCCTTGGGCAAAACACAGTTGTGCAATGCATAACAGCAGGAGGCTGGTCCGCTGGTAGTGCTGTGTGTTTGAACTTCCCACACTCTTTCTCATACGTGCTGAGTGCTAAGCAGAGAAAGAAGTGTGTACTATTTTTAAAGACCTGGCCGGGGTTTGAACTCATGACCTCCCGGTTACAAAGCGAGTACTCTACCAATTGAGCTATTGCACTGGTACAACTTCAACAAAGGAGAGTGTTAATCTTCATGTCGGAAAATGAATCGGATACTGCAATTCCAATAACCCTTTTAAATGGATCTAAACAGATTTGAGCTCAATCTTCACTTGTGCTGTCACCTGACGAGTTGACCATGACCTCATGTCATAAAGTTCAATGCCAGCACAGATGATTTAGAACTTTAGCGCGCCCCTTCCAGCTGTGCTTGTGACCCGGAGACAGCTATCATCTCTCTCCTAGTTTAGAGTAATCTTATACACATTAGCCTGTAACGGGGGACGATATCGACTTCTTACGAACTTTGACCCAGCACCGACGTGCTCGTGGCATTTGGGTCAGAAGGCTGCGGAAGACCGAATGATTCGGACAAAATTTTCGGCAATCCTTTGAGTTGGAAAACAGCTTGGAATAACCTGGCTGAAAATCTGACTGCTGCAAGAGACAGATCAGGCCAGAGACAGCTCTCCATCCTCACTTCTACCTTGTCCCTCCAGCGGCCAGAAAAAGGTAAAGGGACGACGTAGGTAGGTAGTTATTTCAACAACTGGGATGGACGTTTACGTTGTTCCTGTGAACAGAAAATGTTTGCTTTCCAACAGGTTGTCGCATGCTGGCTAACATACACAGTATCTGATTGCACGAGGGATTAAAGATGCCATCTACATCAGGGCATGTTATTACAACCATTCCCCAACAGAGACGGGGGGCGCCACAGACTTTCTGCAACCTATGATCCACTGCTCACAGAGCCACGTGTGTTATCTGCGTGACGTCACGGAAGCGGTGGATTGCTCATTCCTTGACAAAGACTGGAGTTGTACAGTTGAAAATTTGGGTGAGTCCAATTTGTTGTGTTGGAAATTACAAATTAAACTTGCTTCATAGTATCTGATGGAGTCAATCAGTTGTTATGTCTTGGCTTCAGTCCTTGATAGGATGCAGGCTCAGTTGAAGCGGAGGATTGTGTGATGATAGGAATCATACTACAAGACGAAATCTCAATATTCTCAATAACGTGGAACCGAAAAGTAGTATCCGGACAATTGCCGGATCGCTATCACTAAATAGAGGTGAATATGAAAGTGTGCATTGAGATCCTTGTCGTTTTTCTAATGTACCGTAGCAATGCGGGCGTAATAACTGTTTTAAAGTCTACAAAAAGTTATTGCAAAGATTTTCGTACATGTGGGAAGGGGTTTAAAAATCCAGCTTGGAGTTAGTGTTGCCAATTCTTCTGATGATAAGAAAACAAAGATAGACTAGACGCCAAGTCCACATCATTGCTCTATGATGTAAATAGAAGTTTATTGCGAATTCATGCCCGGGGGGGGCTAATTGCAGGTTACAAACATAAAAGAACAATGAAACGTAGTATAAAATAGCTAAAATCTACATGATAAAAGGTAGATGTCTAGAGCTATAGCTATGTCTAAAACTATGTCTAAAACTATGTCTGATGTAGTGCGTGTTCATTGTGGCTATCTAAGTGATCAATCACTACCGTGAGTAGCGTCTTTTCTCTATTGCCGCAAGTCACAGGGCGGAGAAGCTCTTGAAAGCCACCTTCAACATACAGGAACTTCAATGAGCTACTCAAATTTGACAAACGAACCACGATAGTTACCGCAGATTACACGAATGCATTAGGGGATGGATACGGATGAGTACTGAGAGCACACTGCTTCATTTTGTTCTGCTCATGACAAAGGATGGTACGTTTACTTTTAAGAGGTTCTCTTTTCTCTCAATAATGTACAATATTCAAATATAACTACATGTACAGACATTTTTGTTAGAATCCAATCGTTTCTTTTTATAATATCTTGATCAATACTGCCGGTATTTATTTATTTGTTTCAGTTCTTAATTGATTGATTATTGTATTCAACTTCTATATGATAACTCGTGTTTTGCTTGCTTGTATTACGTATTGTCTGGTGGCGGTATGAATATAAGTGTATCTTGAGTGTGTCGCCCCCACGTCTTGTCACTGGATGTTTTTGTAATATAAAAGTATGTGGCTCCCCCGCACGTAATATTGTGTCGCCTGTCCACATCAACGTGCCGTCCTTTCAAGAGTTATACAGCATTACTGGAAGTCTCTTTGTATGCAAACAGCTGCGCGCTATCTTAAAAGAGCCGTTACCCAGACCTACTTTCATTTCTAGTTATTGCAAAGAGATTCAGAGACAGCAACGCATCATTTACTCCATAAATTTTGCAACTATCGCTTCTCTGCTGCGTATGGAGCATAGTAAAAGTGGTTATCCTAGAACTTTAATGTACAGGGACATGAAAGGATAAGGTGCTTCACAGGCTGGCTTTTAGTTTTGTTTCATCCCACATATTGTTTGTCAACGTTATATACATCACGTAGACTTCAAATTACTGACATCCTTTGAAGAGTATTCCATAAGACTTGGACATCCGCAACTTTGGTGGTCTACAAAGGTCCATCAGTGTTGATAATGTACATGAAGCACTAACGCGCCCACACATTAAACCATGCAAGATGTTTAGTCCTCGACTATATAAAGTATTGCTACCACTTCTTTCTTATTTCTCATGAATACAACTATACATTAATTAAATGCAATTCAGTGTCCCATTTATGCAAGACGACGTGAGCTAATGGGGTTTACAGCATAGTAGATACACTTTAATTTAGTGCAGAGTAAGAATAGTAAGTTAATGGAGTGCATAGTTACTGCCTTAGACCATTTAGCCCGCCCCCTAAAGTTCCCCAATAGGGGCTATATGAGGGTATAGCCGGGGCTCATATAACATCTCAGAGCCCAGGCAAAGATGAAGATGAAGAGTTACCATAGTTAGTATGTAAGCATAGTTTAGTAAGCACAGTAGGTACTTATAGTTAATGGAGTGCATAGTTAGCATAGTACGTAATGGGGTGCATTGTCAGCATAGTAGGTGCATGTTACTTGTATAAACAGTTAGCGAAGCATATGGTGAGCTGTTAGCATAGTAGATACATGTAGTGTGGAGTAGATAATACAACAGTTATTCCTTACCGCCGAAGTTAGGGCGCAGATGTCTGTCGTAGCCTCTCGAAGCCAGCATGTGGTCGATGGTGGACGGGCTCTCAATGGCGCCGTGGTCGTCCGCTCGGACACACAACCTGGAAAACACGTTTGAAATATTATGAAAAAACTTAAAACTGTAATCCAACTCAAAATTTGACTCACCAGAAATTTTCGACTGAATCACTCAGTCTTCCTCAGCTATCTGACCCAAATGCTGTGGACACGTGATTTTTCCCACATGTGACGTCAGCAAAGTGTCAAAGGTTGTCTTAAGTCGATATCGCCCCTCGTCCCGGTAAAGGGGAATAAGGCAAACGTTTGAAATATGTTCAAAATTAAAACCAACACAAAAAATTCTCTCACTTAGAGCTTTCGACCAGTCTCTCTGGTGTTCCTCAGTAGACTGACCCAGTGAGGCTTGTACCTTTGGCCCAGTGTTGACGTCACACTGACCCATTGAAGCCACGTGACAAGCTTCACTGGGCCAGTCTACTAAGGAAGACCAGAGTCACTGGTCGAAAGCTCTAGGTGATTTTTTTTTGTGGATCAAACGTTTTAACTTTAAACACGTTTGAAATGTGTTTAAAATTAAAACGAACAAAAGTTCTCTCACCTACAGCTTTCGCCCAGTCACTCTGGTCTTCCTCAGTAGATTGACCCAGTGAGGCTTGTCACGTGGCTTCTTTGAAGTGTGACGTCAAAGGTACAAGCCTCACTGGGTCAGTCTACTGAGGAAGAGTGACTGGTCGAAAGCTCAAGGTGAGAGAACTTTTGTGTTGGATTAAAAGTTTTAACTTTAAAGGAGTACTAACCTCCAGAAAGGGGTGCTATATTTCGACAGGCTATTTATTTTTGGAAGTGAAAAATGCATATTATTTTACAGTATATAATTAAATGCCCATTTTGCGAGCAAGCCTTAAAACGCATCGAATCCAGGACAAACTCTCCAAATACCCTCAAAACTATCCCAGAATACACCACGCTACCCCATTAGTGCCTATGTTTTAAACAAAAAGTTACGTTACAGACCTCATTTCGGGGGCGATAAGAAAAATTCGTACCGTTTTGTGTTCTTTGGTATCTTACCAACCATTGCCCTTCTTGGTGTCCTTATCGCCCCTCATTTATGCCGCAAATATTGATGATGAAAAAAGCGGCGTAATCTAGTTATCTTTTTCATAAGTGGCGTAATCTAATTATCTGTTCAAGTTATACTTACATGCAAATGAGTTGAGAAACTCAAAACACACAGGATGAAACTGGCGCCCACTGTATTCGACATCATGATATTATAATATCCAAGCCACAGGTCAAGCAAAGTAAAGCAAGTAATTTCTCAATAATCAGCTTGTTAGTGTGCTTGTCTCCTACCATTTTCGCCAAAAAATGTTTATGTTGACCTGAAGTGTATGAGTATTGCGTAAGCCAGAGTTCCCGGATGTATCAATTGTGGTTCAGCATGGGGGAAAATGATATTAATATCACTTTACAAACATGCGCCGCGCAACTTGTACAAGCGAAATTATGTAAAAAGTCGGCTAGTTATGTATTCATTGCAGCATGATGTATCGGAAAATAGCACTTCGTTCTGGAGGTTAGTACTCCTTTAAACAAGTACGTAGACCAACACAGATTTGAAATATAGTTATAAGGGATGACTTACTCTTTTGAGACTCATTTTGTGGGCACGAAATCCCATGATATAGAGAACGAGAAAGCTAGGAGCATTAAACATTGGTAACTCAAAATGTAGCGCTGATTATGACAGGCCAATGGCTCCAATTTAGTCCGTCAAGTACACAACAAGATCCAACCGCTATGAATTACCAAATGTCTCTTTTAAAAAATGGCATATTTTATTACAGCTTACAACTAAACGTGTATACATACTGTGTGGCCTTAAAAATAGTGACTGTCATCTTAGCTCAAAGCAATTTTGCAACGACTGTAAAATTAAGCCATGCCCAAAGAAAGGTAGTTTTTACTTCATAGCAGCTGGATTTTGTGGTTGAATTGCCTGGCCTGATTTTCTGAATCATTAAAAATACCTACAGGGCGTCTCTGCCGATAAATGCAATTGGGCGCACATCTTTCTTTTTCCTTGAAGCACCGTGAAAAAAAATTAACGGCTCTTGGTCGCGCAAATGTGCTGATGTTGACACATCGGCGCACCAAATCCGTAGGGTGTTTTTGGCACCCAGTTATAATTAGACAATTAGCCTAAGAGGCTCGGTGAGCGTCACTCCACCGTACATGGTAGGGAAGTCGTGTAAAGTGCCTTTCCCAAGGGCACAACGTCAGGGCCGCGGTGAGTATCGAACCCGGGACCTCTCGGTTCCGAGTCCAACGCTCTAACCGTTGCGCCATCGACGATAAGAGATAGCCACCGTAGCACCGTACGTGAAGAGAGACTTGGGGTCAATGACCGCGAGCGCGGCTGGCTGGATATATAGATCTCCTTTTGACAAAAGACGGCTTCATAAATTGCAACCATCTCAAATTCCGGACTTACCGGGAAGGCCCAGAACAAGAGTAAAGCTCCTTTTCACCGAATTAAGAGAAATAACTGCCTAGCTAAAAAAAAGGCCAGCATTTATAAACACATACCAAGAAAAAGGCTGTTTACAGTTTGTTTGGATGCACTCATCAAACTGACTGTCACGATCATCTCAAAGCAATTTCAACGGTTGAAAAAATATTCCATGCCCCAGGACAGGCACTTGGTAGTCTATTCATTTAACAAGACCTACAGAGGGTCTCTACCGATGGGGAGTTTTTTTCCCCTTGAAACACCGTACGTGGAGAGAAACTTGGGGTCAATGACCTGGAGCGCGGCTGGCTGGATATATAGATCTCCTTTTGACTAAAGACGGCTTCATAAATTCCAACCATCTCTATCAAATTCCGGACTTACCTCGAAGCCCCACACACAGCAACTATAGACACATCATTAACCCCTGAACCCTCTGGCCTTCAGTAAATCGTCAATTTTCATTACGTTCCCCTGATATCAGGTGTATTAGATTCCACACTCTGTTGATGTGAGCACCGATGATTGGTTCATTTAGTGGAAATGGGGTCATGGATTTTTGATAAACGGCCGGATCACTGACCCCCACCAGGCAGGAGGATCATCTCTCTGTGCCTGGTGATGATCCCATGTAGTTACCTGCGTCCTCATCATTCAGGTACACAGGAAGATTTACAGTCATTACGACCAGAGGTTTATGTACGTTATTTATTTATTTCATCATAAGACGGCTGGGTAGCCCCATTCAGCTTACATTAGCTGTTTTCCAAGGGGGCCCAGCAAAATTACACAAGACATTGTTACATGTACATACAGTAGGACAAGAGTGGACAACCTACAGTAAACAGTACAGCACATTAATCTAAGTCTTGTCCTTTGGCATGAACAAGTGGTCGCATATGTAGTTACCACTCGGCCATTGTGGCTGCATTTTGATGGTAGTTCTCATTGACACGATCATTGGGAATCTTGTCTTTAGTTTTTTTTTTTTTATTCCAACATGTAATCACCAGACGTGGTGACGACACACTCAAGTTTCTTCAACTTATATTAATGCCGCCACCAACACAGGGGACAAATACATGACAGGACAATACTCATTTACACCTGAGCTAAGTGAGGAAAGCCGTGTAAAGTGCCTTTCCCAAGGGCACAAGATCGGTGGCATGTCAGGACTCGAACCCGGGACTCTTATTTCCGAGTCGCGCACTCTGCCGCTACGCCACACGACCCCAGAATTGTCTATAGTTGCTTTACTGCTTTATCCTACTGCATCAGGTGATCGCTTTCCCCCTGTTCATAACGATCTAATACATAAATCTAAACTGGCTTGTATCAGATCGAGTCACCCCTGTACAAGGACCATCCAGTCATCCTAGTAACTGGTTTATGCATGGTTTATGATCCTGGAGTGGTCGCTTTAGCCTCTTCATTATCACCTAAGGTGTGTGCACAACAGATAAATCTAAGTCTTGTCTTCTGGCTTGCAGCAGTGGTCACCTCTGCACAAGGACCACCCAGACATCCTGTTTATAGTAACTGTTTATTTCAAGTTCCTTGACTTAGAGTGATGACTTTAGCCAGGTTTTATTGAGCTTATTGAGTTTTATTTAGATCCACAATTAGCATCAAAAGAGGCTATTCTTCCTGTGGTCTACATATTACATACATATATACATACTTGTATTACAATGAAGAAAAAACGTACAAAGACATTACAAATAACAAGTTAGCAGTATGGAGTAAAATAACACAATTCAATTCTAATTAAATACACTATCTACAGTCGCTCAGTGTTTCACTCAGTTATAGATAAATAACATGAACACCGTGCAATTAACATCAACTCATGTCCTGTCTGAAATGTTATCCTTCGCCTCCAGCCTTCCAAACTAACATACTACCCTCTAAAGCCATGTTTTATTAGAAGATTTATTGATGTCGCCGGTGACGATGCGTCAATCTGGATGGATCTGGGTCAGCGATGGCCAGGGGTGATACAAAGTGCGAGTTACGGCAGGTTTTTTTTTTTAATATTCCAACATATATCACATGCCGGTGTGTTACGCTGGTGTGTTACGCCGAAAGGCGGTTATACCGGTTATACAAATACAGATACAGATGCCATGGTGACGGCACTCTCAAATCAAGTTTTTTTAACCTTATATTAATGCCGCCACCAACACAGGGGACAATACAATACTAATTTTCACCTGAGTTAAGTGGGGAAAGTCGTGTAAAGTGCCTTTCCCACGGGCACTGGATCGCTGGCACGTCAAGACTCGAACCCGGGACCTCTTGGTTCCGAGTCGAGCACCCTGACGCTACGCCCCACGTCCCCACAGGTTTGTAACCCTGCAAGCAATTTTACGGTGTGAAGAACAGCGACTTATGAGCGTCGTTACAGTCTTCAAAGATCTTGCCTGATTTCTCATTCCTTTCAAGTACGTTCGTTGCAGATACTTTAAGATCAGCTATATCTCATTCCTGACATACGTTGTTTATGTTATCTTTATCGGCTTATCTTTACTTGCATATCAATCAATAGTTTGTGCTTATAAACCTGCATTTTCCCTCTGGTCTCTCAGTCACTGACGAAAGCTA